TATATTTTTTAACCTAAGAAGGTAAGAACCTTGCAATGATTAAACCCTCCTCACTTCGATTATCACTGAAAATTATTCAAGCCTACATTTCTAGTGCTAATCTTTTGCCTGGGCTTTATACCCATTATTCAATAATATGAAGAACAAACCTTCTGATAAACTGAAGTTTTAATGTCTGTTTTTCTCTCAATTATGTTTTTTTCCTAAAAATTTTAAAGGACTGAATTTTAATTAATTAAAAGGTTATGGTCTAAAATAACACCTGGATTCTCTGCAAGTTCTGATTTTAGCATGGTTTTTTTTAACTTGGAATATGTGAAGAGAAAGCTTTCTAAGTTAGCACTTGTAAAACCAGTGTTATGAAGCTATGCCATTTGTTTTTTAATTGATACTAAATCTATATCCTCTGAAAAAAAAAATCTGGATTAATAATATAGCAGCAGTAGTAGTACCTAACACTCATGTAGCACCTCCCACATACCATATATTTTTTAAAGTACCTTGTAATAAATTAACTCATTTAGTCTTCATGATGTCATGTTAGGTCAGAGACACCATAGAGTATGTGAATAATCCATTCTGGAGATGTACAACATGGCAACTCTGAATTACATATTATTATCATTTCCATTTTAGAGAAGAGGGCACTGGGCACCAACATGTTAAGTCCAGCTCCATGCTGTTAACCACTATAATATACCTCCTAAAAATCAGTGTTTTAAAAAACATGTATAAGTAACAGGTATTAACTATGGTCTAAGTAAATTAAATGTACTTGAGAGGCCAAAATCAGAAAACTGACCTTTTAATTTTCATTCCACTACTTCTTCAATTAGACTAAATTGGTCTAATTCAGTCATTTAAGATAAAAAGAAGGCTTCCAAGAAAATATTTTCACCAAATTCACTGTGATTTCTAAAATGCCTTAAATAAGAAAAATTCCAATTTCTACATAAATTGTCCTATAATCTCTCTCATAAAACACTACTCAAATTTAAAGCAAAGGATTTCAAAAGTAGACAATACATACTTTACCCTTTCTTCTTTATATTGTTCTTCTGGCTGAGACTGGTCAATGCCACAATTTTCTTCAGACAAAGCCTGATCAATGTTACATTCTTTTTCTGGCAATGCCTGATTAACTTGTTTTTCTGACAAAGGCTGGTCAAGTTTTCCAAGTTGTTTCCTGAGTCTTTCCTCTTCAGCTAAATAGAGATGTTTCAGATGATCAGGGTAGCGATCTCTGAATTGGGATTCCTGTGATGTTTGACCCTTCTTTTCCTTCCATAGCAATTTCTTGTAATGTTGTTGAATCTTCAATTTCCTCCGAAAAGCAAAGCCTTGTCCTACATTGAAGAATATCAATCATTAATTACTTTCTCAGAAAATAAGCTGCAGAAAAATATAGCTGTTAATTTTAAACGAAAACCTTTTTTTCTATCATCACATTCAAATGCTAGAATTGCTTTGTTTTGTTTGAAATAAAAGATTATTTCAAGAAAACAAGTTTAAACGAATGGAATGAATGGTATGTCGCTTCTCTGCAAAAAAGACCAGGCAAACATTAGTTCTTCAGACACTTCAAGTACAAATCTCACATTAGAAAAACAGACTAGGGTGTCACAACTCCAGTATACTGTACTCACAAATCGACAACTTCTTTAATTCATTTAAAACACTTAATTTAGGTCTTGAATAACACTTAAGGAAAAATAAAAACACCTCATAACCATTATTTCACCTTAGAGAAACTTACTACTACTACACGACTGATTTTTCAAATTAATTCAGCACAAAAGAAGATGGTATATGACTTTCTGAACAGCTAACATTATCAGAAAACTAAACTTACTTAAGATTTATACATTCCAAATGAGATTTGAGGAAACTTGCAGACAGTAAGACAAAACAAACAGAAACTAAAGCGAAGGAAAGATCAGTGAGAAAAGACTGGAGGGCTCTGAGGTATTCGCAATCATCAAGAGTACGGGGCAATAGATTTCCGGCCCTATATTCCTCTCTTTTTCCGTAATATATACGCAAATGGATCCGGAGATCCTCTCTGCTTATGGTTTCACGGAGAAATGAAGAGGAAGCGTTCTGATCAAGAATGGGGATAAAGCGGGGAAGATGTTTAAAGATACTGAGTTAGCAACACTTCCCATCCAGAGCTCTGAGACACCCACGGCTTCAGTGAGCTTGGGAATGACTTCCTCTGCCCCAGTTAGGGCCCAGCTGGTTCCGAAATCCTGCTTCCCTGCTTCGGTACGTCGCGTATTCCAAGACGTCCGAGCCCTGGTGACTTATAAACGACGGCCTTCTTACATACCCTCGCGGACGCTCCCCTGGAAGGTCTGCAAATGGTTAGGTCGCCACGTTCTATGTTTCACATTCTTATTCTTGAATGCCGCCGGAGAAATTCCTTCGCCAGGCATCCCCAAACTCCCTGGCCGCCACCTCGCTGCTGGTCTAACTGGAGACAAGCACACCAACCACGTCGCCCGAAAACCACAACGGACGCTGTCAAAATACGTCATCAGGCCGAAGGAGTCAATCACCCAACTAGAGTGCGGATCAGAGCTCTACTTATCCGGCCTGTGCAACTTTCAGCGGCCACGTTTGCGCCACCTACAGCTCAGGAGGGTAGCGCTATGGCGACTTCTTGCCCGCTTCCAGTGACCCAGGACCTGTCCACGTTACGTGCCAAGTTGCAGGGACTGCTGCGATTCCTGAGGGAGGCCCTGTCCATCTCCAATGCACATACGGTAGACTTCTACACGGAGTCTGTGTGGGAGCAATTGATCGACTTGCCTCCCGAGACGGTGCTGGCGGTGCTAAGGAGGTCGACGGAGGAGGCGGAGGCTCGGCCCGGGGCGGCGCGCCCCCTGGTGGAAGCCGAGAGAGGATCAGGTGAATGGCGGGTGGGAGGTGCGGAAAGGGAGGCGGGCCCAAGCGTGCCCTCTAGCGGAAACCGAGCGGAATCAGGTGAGCGGCAGGGCGGGCCTGGCTGGGCCCTGGAGGTTTGCCTTTGCCGGAAGCAAGAGGCGGGGATCAGGTTAGGGGAGGAGTGGTGTGTGGGCGCTATTCCGGGATCCCTCGTTTGTCCCTGGGTGCTTGTGTATTTACGCAATTTAAACACAAGAAACAAAACAAGGCGTTCATTCATTTAGAAATTCAGCAATAATTTTTGACAGGAAGGAAATAAGGGTAAAGTACCTCATAGTGCTTAGAGATTCCATGTGGAAGCACAGGCAGAAAGTAAATCAACACTTAAGGAAATTCATCAGGGTATGTATAGTGCCAGATGGGTACTCAACTAATTGGAGGATCGCTTTATAAAGTAAATAAATGTCTAACCACTATGCTGCACACTCACAACTAATATAAAATAGTATTGAAAATCGACTGTAATTGAAAAATTAAAAATAAAAATTTTTAAAAAGCACCTTTTTAGTTTGCTCTCCTAATACCCAGTACTTATGAAAGTATGTCAACTTAAACTCAAAAAGGGAAGAGACCATCTCTGCCCTCTAAACAGATGTATTCTCAGCATCTAGTAAAAGACCTGGTATAAATTAAGCCCAATGAATATTTGTTAAATGAATGAATTAATGAATAACTCATGGTAGCATCCCAAAAAAGATATAAAGCACAAGACTTTCATATGGGTTTAGCTTTGTCTTCATGCAATGGAAGAATTAGAATGTCTTACATAACTTAATAATACTAATAATAGGATTTATTGATATTTATTCTGTGGTGTGCTAAGTGTTTCTTGCATATTTTCTCTTTTAATTTTTACACTAGCCTTGCACGATGGCTCTGCTTTTCCCAAGTTATGAAATTGCAACTCGAAGAGATATTTGCCAGGGGCATAGTTTTTAATAGAGTTTCAAACCTGGATCATCTGAATCCACAGGCTGAAGTGTTCACCACCATGATAAAAGTCTAATCTGAATTATTTAGAAATGAATTCCAAAGGCCATCATTATCAAAACCAATATTTTTATGACACTAATGCATTTCTTATTTTTTTGTTTTTATTGTTTCCCCTTCAAGAATGTAAGAGTTAATTTGTTCACTGCTGTATCCCTAGTGCCTAAAACAATGCCTGGTCAGAGTAGGTGGTTAATAAATATTTGGCGAGTAAGTAAATGAATGAATAAATGACACCACTTATTTAAGCGAGGAATAAATACTAACATCTTCTGGGAAAACCTTCCAACCAATTTTGTATCTATCCAAAAACAATGGAATTTAGGCTCAGTTGTTCACCTTTGAAATGTCTTTGGCCCTGCAAACTTTTTTTTATAGAAAATATTCCATTTTACAAATCGTCAGCTGCCTGTAGTGTTAAAAAGAATGAATTTTTATAATTTGTGCTTGTAGGAAATATTAATTTTGCTTATGCAAAAATTATTTAAAGGTAAACATTTTCTCCATAACTGTATACACTCTATTGTTTGTGTCAAAGAACATTAGAATCCTTTAACCAGATTTGTATCTGATTGAAGAATTGTTAGCTACTATGTTCAGTATAATTTAATACTTAAATTTTTAGACTTGAGTCAGATAGAGTTCAAATTCTAGTTCTACCTCCTGTCAGCTGTGTGACCTTGGGGATGTTCATTCATTCAGCAAACAATTACTGAGTATCTACTATGTGCCAGCACTTTTCTAGGAGCAAGGGCAATAGTAAAGAAAACAAACAAATCCCTACCTTCATCTTGCTTGCATTCTAGAGGGAAGAGTTAGACAAAAACAAAAAGGTGCCACAGAGAAAAATTAAGTGGAAAAGGAGGGAGTAGATAAGGGGAAGTGCAGGAGGAGAGTGTATTTGCAATTTTAAATCGGTCGTTCCAGCAAGACCTCATGGAGATGACTCTGGAAAAAAATCTTAATAAGAAGAAAAATGAATCATGAAGCTATGTGGAGGGAGAACATTGCAGATAGTAAGAACCGAGAGCACAGTCTCTGAGGTTGAAGCTTGCATGGTGTGTATAAGGAGCAGCAAGGAGACTGGAACAGATGTCCATCAGGGACTCAAAAGGAGTGTGGTTTTCTGCTCGTCTGTATGAGGAGTTACAGATAAACACAATTCCCAAAGCTGCACTGAGTTAATGCACAGTGTATGAAAGTACACTAACAGATGTTTGGCGCAGTCATTTGGTGTTTTATGAGACCTAGTTGTTTCTGAAAATCCTCACTGTAGCCGTTTTAGTGGATTTTTCTTGCCAAGTGATCTTCTGGCCTGGTCAGAGTCCTGCAAGTTTTTTCTCTTCTGTTCAACTAAAAAGACCTAGAGGCAAATATCTTAGTTCTCCAAAATAAAATTGTTGGAAGATGTTGAAAATAAATATATTTCAAGGGCATAAATTATGGACGTTATGGATTGAATTGTATCTCTCCAAAATTCCTATATTGAAGTGCTAATCCCCAATGCAACTATTTTTGGAGATGAGGCCTTTAAGGAGGTAATTAATATTTAATTTAATGTGATCATAAGGGTTAAGTGCTAATCCAATAGGAAGAGGAAAAGACACCAGGAGGGCACATACTGAAAAAAGCTATGTGAGAATACAGCAAGAAGGTAGCCATCTATAAGCCAAGGAGAGAGGCTTCCCCGGAAATCAACTTTGCTAGCACCTTGATCTTAGACTTCCAGTTTCCAGAACTGTGAGAAATGTATATATTTGTTGTTTAAGCATCCAGTCTATAATATTTTGTTATGGCAGCCTGAGCAGACTAATACAGTGGGCTTTGCAGTCAAACAGACTACCTGGATTCAAGTTCTGGTTCCACCAGTTATTAGTTTTGTTAACTTGGACTTTAATTCTTTGTACCAGTTCCTCGTGTATACTTGATGGAGTGGTATGAAAGTTAAATGACTTCATACATACAAAGGGTTAAGAATAATGCCTAATAAATAGCAGCACTTAGTCCATTCATTCATTTGACTTATGTTATTGAGCACCTTCTACCGATGAAGCCGTGTTCTACGCCCTACAATTACGGCGTTCAACCCAACACAGTACTTGCCCACATGTGGCTTATGTTTTAGTGAGGATACTTATATACGTACTATCAGGTGGCAGTAAATACAATGAAGAAAAGCAAGGCAGGGAAGGAGAAGTGAAAAAATGATGGTGCAGTAGAGAGAAATGCTATTTTAGATAGGGTGGTTGGGAAGTCTTCTCTAAAAAGACAAAATTTGAACAGAGTCTTGAAGAAAGAGCCAGTTGTGCAACTCTCTAAGGTAAGAGTGTTTCAGTCCAAGTGGAGAGCCAAAGCCAGAGCATACTGGAAGCACAGCAGAGCCAGCCAGGTTAGGCTGGGAAGAGACGAGGTTTGACCTGGGGCAACTTCATGTAGGAGTTGTAGGCCATACTGTGGTCTTGGCTTTTACTCTGAGTGAAATGGAAAGCTCTTTAAGGATTTTGTGTGACAGTGTGATATGTGATTGATTTATATTTCAAAGGGATGACTCTGACTTCTGGGTGGAGAAGAGGCTGTCAGAAGGTAAGGGAGGAAGCAGGAAGACAAAATAGGAGGCTATTAAAATGGTGCAGGGAGACTTCAGGTAATAGCTCGAAGAGGTGAGGCAATTTCTCTAGCAGATAACAATGATAAACAGTGGCCATATTACTAAAAACTGGAAGCTTCTGAAGGAAGACCAACGATAGGCAGAAATATAGGTTTACTATTGAAAGATTGCTATGGCTTGGGTAGGAACTGGAGGTTAATGGCTTTCTTGCTGGGTGTGCTTCACGCTCCCTTAGATTTGACACTGGAAAACTGTCCTTACCAGCTTAAGGAAGTGATGACAAAGTTCAGAGATCAGAGGTGATGGAAATTTAAATAGTATGTTCTAGAAACAGGAGAGCCACAGAAGGCTGAGATCTAAGAACTGAGTATATACCCTGCCTAAATCTCCAGGTAAGCTCTAAACTAACATGCAGAGTATACCTAAAGAAATCAATAAAAAACACTGGCACAACTGGGGAGATGGGGCTTTAGGTGAGATCGGCAGATTTGCTGCACCTTTTACAAAGTGCCTTCCCCAAAGTGTACACAGCTTGAGTAATAAAAATCAGAAGTCTTATTGAATTCATGTATGAAAGGGCAGAATTCAGGGCTGGCAGAGCAACTGGAAATTTAAGTTGGAGAACCTTGGAAATAAAGGTGAGCTCCACAACCTGAAGATAAAATCTACCCAGATCTGCCAACCTGCACAGATTCAGGGATACCCTCAGCAAGCAGGCAAGTAAATCAGCAATTGAGCAGAGACCTAGCTGCTGCACGCTGAAGGGGAGGTAGATTTCACCAGCTGAGTTCAGACAAGTTGGGTTCTTATGTAAAATGTCAGCAAAATCCTTAGAAAAAGATTTTCTACAACAGGTTATGTGCAATTCTGCTTTTTAACCAAAAATTACTAGATTACAAGGAAACAGAAAAGTGTGACTTACTCAGGAAACTGATTCCGGGTAAATCCTGTTGCTGGATTTAAGTAGCCATGTTCAAAGAATTGAAAGAAGCTGTGACCCAGGGGAATAAATGAGTTGATAGGAGCTAATCCTGAATGGGCTCAGATGTTGGATTT